AAAACCGTTTGATTGCCACAGAAATAGCCTGTTCGCCCCTATAGGGCCACCCCATAAGCAGTCACAAGCTTTGATTAAGTAAGCTTAAAGTGAGGCTGGAAGAGTCTACCAATAGAGTTGAAGGGAACATGTGCATAGCAGTCAAAACTGTTTCATTGCCACATATACCCTGTTCACCCCTTTCGAGCCACAGTTATAAGCATCCTCACACGCTGATTATGTAAGCTAACTATTACACCGGTCGAGTCTACCTCACTGATGTGAGGGGAACTAATTCCTTATAATATCTTGACTGTTGCGAGTGCTTGTTTTTTTTCCTCGACTTTTTAACGTCCTATAATCAGATCGTAACCTCGATTATGACACCGGCTCCTGGCCGCGAAAAGATAGACAAAAACAACCAAATGTGAAATAAAAAATTAATAATTGGCATGCTCTACCAAAGTGTTTCGGCTGTCTGGTATAACATGCCATTGTAGGCCTAGTACTGACATCTCTGCTTCTTTCCTTGGTGTTCGTGTATTCAAATCTAAAGTTAAATTCAAGGCTAGTTAGAATAAATATTTAATGAAATACTTTCCCGATTATCTTAGCGGTTGAATATGCACACAACAAGAATTCAGGATTTGTTTTCATTCACAATTCAGAGTTGCCGCCTCCAGTAAGATTCTTGTGACTTGTGTGAGTGTGATATCTCCAGACCCTATCTGGTCCCATCTCACTTTGATTACCCTGTCAAACAAGCCAGCTTCGCCCCTGATCATCTGATCTGCACCGGTCCCAGACTTTTGAGAATCATCCATTTTTTAAAACTCCCTTCAAAAACTCGTCCGCATTGAGTTAATTTTCTTTTTCATTTCTTCTTTTGTGGCATCTGCATACAGTTCCCCGTATTTCAGCAGCAGAGCGTCATAGGCAGCTTTTTGTCTTAAAAAAAAAAATCTCGGTCACTATATTCTTTACTTTTAACTTTCCATAGCTCAGGCAAACTCTGGTACACTTCAATCAGTGTCAGCTCCAGAATATTTTTTTTTACCCTTTGATGGCGCCATGACGATGTAAAAAGCAGATTTCTATCCGGGAGCAACTGAAAAAAATAATGTTTGCACAAATAAATTTGAGATGAAGACCACACACGATCAAATAGTTTGACGGTTTGACAAAAAAATATCAACTGAAAACAGATCCGTCAAATATTTGACATCAAATTCTTTTGACCATCAAATACGCCCAAAACACTATCAAAAGCCCCATCAAAACCTTGTGTCAAACATAACTGATCAAACCATCAAAAAAAATTGAGCGTGTAAGGGGCACTTTAATCTGACATTTGAATAAATGAAATGATTTGACCTCTCTTAAACTACTTTGCAAAGCATTCCAGATCTTGGGGCCTTGATATTCAAATGTCCTTTCACCCATTGTTTTAAATTTCGTAGATGGTAAAAGAGATTTCTTTTTGTCTGCTGATAACCTTAAACTGCGAGATGAAATATTCAGTTTTAACAGATTTGATAAATATGATGGTGCATTATTATTCAAGCATTTGTATGCGACATAGAGAGGCCAGCTTGTACACATATTTTTTTTCTCAACGGGAAGCCAGCGCAGTGTCGGCAAAAGAGGTGTGACAGAGTCTCGCTTTCATTTCTGTAAAACTAAACGTTCATCATTGTTTTGGACAGTTAACATTTTTTTTCACTTTCTTCAGCGATATTCCTGATAACTAGGAGTTACATTAGTTACACAGGTCTTGATAAAACTATGCTAGATCTCTATATAGGCCTATTAATAAAGCAGAATACTTTATATTGATACGTTGACTGTTTTGTTAATTTTGCTCTTATTTCAAAATACTTAAAGGTGCCGACATTGACAAACTGGAATCAAATAGATGCCAAGATTCTTAACTTTTCTTGAAAATGCAATTTCCGCATTACTATTTTTTAATGTGTTCGTGGTTAGCCTCATTCAGAGCTTGCATAGCCTGCCAGAATGACTTCTCTTAATATCATTATTCCTCCACTTTTTCACTGAGGCAACACAATTTTCAGCACGATGGGCATGTTCATTCAAGTTCGTTAAGATTGTTGAACCAAAAATTTGGGTATAACCAGAAAAAAATACTTAAAGTCATATCTAGCTATTTTAATTGACAAGTGGTTCAGTAAATGGTGAACAAAAGACTTGAGTCCCGGAGGACCCCATACATAAAAGCATAATCTGATTATGTAAGTCCTTTAATAACAAAATATTGGTGTCGGCTTGACAGGTGAGAACATAACCAGCTACGGCAGTCCCAGGTATTCCAATCACTTCAATAAAATGTGATGGTCAATTGTATCACAAGCTGCTGATAGATCTAAAAGGCTCAGCAAAACAATTTTTCTGGAACCAGCCAGCAGCTATGTCATTCATGACTAAGAAATACTGTTTCTGTGCTGTGGTCAGCTTGATAGGCAGACTGGAATGGCGCTAACAGATTGTTCTCATATAAGTGACGACGAAGCTGCTCGAGGACAACCTTTTCGAGGATTTCACACAGAAAGGGTAGATGTGAAATATGTATAGACCTATAGTTCTTTAAGACATTCTGTTCTAGGTTCTGTTTCTTTTGTAAAGAAATACATACACATTATATATTGGAATCTCTAAAAGCTTTCCAAACTTCTGTACGGTCATTGATATAATAATGTAGTATATATTCTTGGTTTACCATGTGATGTGAGTGGCCAGATGCAAGAAAACCCCTTACGGAAATTATTTTACTGATTATTCTAATTCTTGTTTGTTTGTTTGAGTAACACAATAACGACCATTTCGTGAGTGGAAAAAGTAAGAAAGACAGACAGAAACCACAGCGGAGAAGAGAAGAAGAAGAACCTACCAGTGGAGCCCTCCAAACGTCCGCTTTCTGCTGGTAATATCAACTAGGTTGTTTCCTTGAAGCCAAGTCGCATACCAATTGTACTCGTGGCATGTTGTCCTGAAAGTGCTACAAAAGGACTAGACCAGATCGTAAACAAAAAAAAAGAAAAAAAAAAAAGAAAAAAGGCTAAGAACAAAATACATGTTTGTATTGATACATAATTTTATCGACAAGTTGAAACCCCTAAACAACGTACAAAGACGGTTCTTGTTTGCTTACGCGGCCTTCGGCCTGCAGTAAAACATGTCCATGTTATTACATTCACATCATGATGGGGGCGTACTGACAGGTCCACCAACACTGACTGTGTGGGATACATTCCATATACACGTGGGAAGGCAAAGTTAGAGACGAGGGCTCCCGTGGTCTTGAGGTCAAGGTGTTCGCCTCTCATTCAATAGGTCCCGGGTTCGAATCCGATTAGAGACCTGAAATTTTCTGCTTTAAAACTTTCTCCGTTCACATCCTTTCCTGTTCTTTAACATAACAATGTTCTGACGTTTATTTCCGTCTCTACTTTCTGCGTTAAAGATCTCTTGGTGGTTCAAAATCGACAAGGGTTATAATATACTCCAAACATGGATTTTTGTGATTATTTCGAAAAGCCCTTCATTTAAATCTGTCGGCAAAACGCTAGATTTGCAACCTAGAAGAACGGTAGCATGTCTCCTGGTTTGTAGCTCCAAGTCGGGTTTATTTTGTTTCGACGACTTATAAACTGATGTAATGTACTCTTGACCTTTAATGGGGATACCCGTACTTGGAAAGAAACGAAAAACATGCTCATTCACAAAGACGCAAGCGTGTACTTAGTACTTACACACATATACACATACACACATACATACACACAAACGCGCAAAATCTAGCACTCGCTTCCATACACATGAACCACGCTTTCATAATCATGTCCATACACTCCCAGAAATGCACTCTTTTTCCATTACTTACACTCACATTTCACACAGATATTTACTCACACACGCACACACACACACACACATAATTCACACACACACACACACACACACACACACACACACACACACACACACACACACACACACACATTTATATACACACACATCCTCACATTCCCAGACATGCACGCTCTTTCTCTTACACACCCTCACACACAAATTACACTCACACACATAATTCACACACACACATACACACACAGACACACACACACACACACACACACACACACTCACACACACACACACACACACACACACTCACTCACGTACACATCCACACACTCTCACATACACATTCACACACAATCTTCCTCTCTCTTTTTCACTCTCTCTTTCTCTCTCTGTGTGCATGTGTCTGTCTGTCTATGTGTCTGCCTCTCTCTCTTTCTCTGTCTCTCCCTCTCTCTGTCTCTCTCTTTCTCTCTCTCCCTCTCTCTCTCTCTCTCTCTCTCTCTCTCTCTCTCTCTCTCTCTCTCTCTCTCTCTCTCTCCCTCTCTCTTGTCTTATAGACACAAACACACATACACACATACACAAACGCACTCATACAAATACACTTAAACACTCACATACACACCAACAGATACTTACACTCACACACATCCCACACAACCACAACAAGCTACATGCGGATAACTTGAGAACGACAGATGTACGCCATTTATAGTGACAGCCATCTTGTTTGACGTCATTGAGGGATTCCCACGTTGTTGTCGTCCACGGTGGCAACACGACCGCAAAGCACTATTGCAATACATTTTGTATTTTTAAAGCCTGTAGCCTAAAGTGGCGTGGTAGCTGAGTGGTTAGTGCGCTTGTCTCCAAAGCAGAAAGTCCAGGTTCGAGCCTCGGTTCGGCCACGGAATTTTTTTTCGCCCCCTTCTGCCCACCCACCTGTAATGGGTACCTGACTTCGAGTTGGGGAAGTAAAGGACTAATCTAAAAGTTTAAAATCAAAGTCACAACATCACATGCTTTTTCAGTTATCTTATACATTTTGTTAGAAAAAAAAATACAAAATTAGTCCACCCCCCTTCCCTTACCCCCAACCTCTAATCTTTCCCGTCTCACCAATATGGTTTTTGTTCAACTAATTATTTTATTGCTATTGCTGCAACGCCGTTCTTACCAACATTTCCTAAAACGAGCTTGGCGCTTTTTAATTCTGTCTTCAGTGTACAGCGGATGAAAATTTCAGTAAATTAAGGGAATTTCGCAAATGTATCTCAATCGGTATCCGCACCAGCCGTCGCTATAGGCAACATATTGCGGATAAAAGCAAACACAATCTGCGTTGTTAGCATTATCAGGCTGACCTTCCTTAAATAGCTGTAGTTTCTCTTCCTCCGTGGCTATGTGCCCGTCAGACCACACAAACTCGCCCTCCTTCATTCTATCATCAAGACCTACCCATATACAAGTCGTTGTAACGTTGTGTTTTTCAGCGACTGTCGCCAAAACCTGCTGCTTGTCTGTCGTGTTTCCGATGAAAAGACGCCCATTGGAGAAGAGCGCACATTCAGCTACAGCCTGGACGTATGTCTTTTTGTCAGCACCCATCATCAGACAGACGTTGAGATCGTTGAATCTGAAGACGTCAAAACCCGGGAAGACCTCACACTGACTGCCCAGAGTGTGTCCGTAAAGGAGATCTGAGCTTGGCGGAGGGGGCAGCAAGCGGCTCAATCCAGAGACACACTTGCAAGATCTGGTGGATTTGTTGTAGGTGACGTAAGAGCTCGTGTGACGAGACAGGCACCGGACGCAGCAGGCCGAGACGGAGGGTGCTGTATAGACCCCGGATGAGACGATACCTCCGGAAGGGGAAACAATTCGGTCAAAGTTGCGAGTGCGTGTTGTAGTTCCAGAGACGAGGGACGTGAAGAGGACAGACAGGAATGCGTACGTGACGTAAGCTAAAGAGCGTAAAAATAACGACATTCTCCAAGTAGTTACGACCTCACCACGAAGGCGAAAACTGTGTCTAGGTTATAATGTGGATTACAGTTAGCTTCCAAAAACAGCTTTCTTATCTCAGCAAAGTGTTCTCTTCTTGAAAACAGTGATTAAATTTTAATTTGAAAATGTTAGATTTAACAACACATACAAAGACTGCATGCTCAGGAACAGCCTTGATAATACTGTGCCACAGTTGTGTCCTTTTGTCTCATTTAATAGCAGTTTATTCCTCTGGACCTAGCTGTCTTAGAAGTTGAAACCTGTAGAAAAAATAAAAAGGAATGATACTTTTAATAACAAAGTTATGTCAAAACAGAAAATGGGACACGTTTTGTTCCCCCTGACTCAGGTTCGTTGTGTTCCTGTTCCTCAATACCCATCGTCCGTGGTCTAGCAGTCAAACTGCTGGACTCGCAGTTCAAATCCCGATCGGACACTAATGTTACGTCAGTGATGAAGACACTTCCCATTACATGCACATGTTCTGTTTCCCACTTCACCCTGGGGGGGGGGGGGTGTTACTCGTCGTTTTACGGCCTCTGCAACACAATTAGGTTATATATGTACCACAGATTAGGGATGCTACAAGAGAGTAACAAACACAAAAAGGGAGAAGAGAGATAAGGACGACATATGTTTTGATAGGAAAGAAGAAGCAAACCACACCAGAGCACCCGCCAACCTCCCACCGGGTACTCGTCTAAGACAGCGAAAGGTCTCGTCCATACGTTGGCTTTTAAAAACGCCTGTAAAATGGCACTTTGCAACGAACATTGCAAAGGAAACTGAACATGTTTCTAGTTCTAGTCACCTTCTGCCTGGATAATACATTAGTAAGTTGTAGAGCACAAAGATCTCACTCTAGTGGGGTCATATGACGGGCCTGATTATTTTTATCAGTACTATACTCTTCTTCTTCTTCTTCTTCTTCTTCTTCTTCTTCTTCTTCTTCTTCTTCTTCTTTTACTACTACTATTGTATTATCATCCTTATCGTTATTATTATTAATAAAGTAGTATAATTCGACTTTCGAATATTCTCATCTGACGTGCCTCGGCGTAAGCGGTGTAGCAGTTACGCGCTTTGCGGTTGCAAACTGAAGGCCTGAGTTCGATTCCCCCTGGGAAAAATCTTTATCGAGTATGGCGATCTTTCTGCTAGGACATTATAATTATAATATCCTTCTCGACCCGAATCGGTTCTGACAGGCAGTGCCGAAGCTTATCTCTTAAATTAACTAAACTGTGTCGATGGCACGTAAGTCACCTATACATATTATATTGACGATAAAAAGGGTTTGATCGTGTATAAAATCTTGCCCTTTGAGTCTTTACGCTTTTTCTTTCAACGTGAGTGATGCATAGATACATACAAATAGAAATAAATCCACCATGTGGTCGGAAAAAATGCCATATTTTATCATTTTATTTTTTTGTTATTGAGGGGGGGGGGGTGCAAACAATAACTGAAACACCAAAATGTTTTTATAATACTATGACTTCCTTTTTAGAGCACTTCGTATTACTCATAGATCCTTTAAAGGAAAAGCGTGCAGACTAAAAAAAAAATTTTTTTTACACAATCAAACAAACGTAGGCTACCCTTTTTATCGCCAGTATAGAGAGAAAAATTATTTCATTGTACGTTGGATCAAAATTGAGGAATAGCCCCTGCTTTGGACACTCTGACATTCGGATGTAAGAGGATCTGAAACAGGAGATATCCCTTTAGCTTAATTTGATAAGAGTTTTACAGCGCTCGCAACTGCATAATTATTAAGGCCATAAAAGCGCGCGGGACACAAGTTTTTTTTCCTTAGTTCATAGTTAGGCTTGGTTTCATTTTGCTAATCGAAATGGTTGAGGTTTCTAAACTAAATTAATACAGCAATAATTATTTATAAAACAACACTAATTTACATTTTGAAAAAAAAAAAATTTATTATATTATCTCATAACGACCAAGGCCGTTTGGATCAACGATGGAGAGCAAAGTCTGTAGATTAGTAAATTTAAAACATTTCCTTTGGGTCTCTTTAAAGTATGAACATTCTATTAGGGCGTGTCTGATCGTGAAATCAGTATCGCTTCCGATGTAAATTTAATGTGTTTTTCTTTTCACGCTGCAAGAGACATCTATGCGTCAAAAAAGTAGGCTATGTTGTTTACCCGTTCGCTCCACTTGTCTTCCCACAGACAACGTGGGGGGGGGGGGGGGGGGGAGAGTATTTTTGGGCCTCATTTTTAAAGTCTGTTCGAGGTGATGTTCTCAGTTTGTCCCCGTGGTTTTATGCACCCGGCATAATATAGCAAAATTTGACCATTTTTTGCCTAATTTCTGATTATTTTCCGTTATCATTCTATGTTAAAATTAACGGTGTTGCATAATTTCACATTTTGGGGCTCAAATTGCATAATTTCAGAATATGTCTTGCTTAAAACGACGGGGACAGTCAGTGGATCCCAAATGGAGGGGACGAGGCGTCATTCGCCAAAACATCGATCTGTTCGTTTCATGGGAAGTCTACAGGGCTAGGCAGCCAGACAAACGATAATACTTACCTATTACGTTTCCCCTGTTCGCTCAAGGAATGAATACTAAACTGCAGTTCAAGTGTCTTACGATTTAATTTTGTCCCATAACAGAAACACGACTAAGTTATCTTTATATTGATAAAAGGTTTATATAATTATCTACGTATTTGCCCATAGAATTTCTCGCAAATGTTTCACGCCCCCATCTACCTAAACTGGATGATAAAGGAGACAGAACAAAGAAGAGTAATTCAAACGTTTGAGCGTATGACGAAATGAATAACGTAGGGAACTTAATCGTTGAAGTAGATATAAAACACTTTGGAACCTAGCGCTAACGTTATCTGCTATTTGAAGCGTTTTACAACCATATGCGAGACAATGTGGTGAAATCAGGGTCTCGTCAAAATAATGAAATCGAAAATATTGACATTTTGGTTTTTTCTTACCTCAACAGCTTTTATGTCCATCTAAAAATATTTCTGTGTGGATTATCCCTGGAAAAACGTTGATTAAAGGTTAAAAAAAAAGTAAAACAATTCTCAGTTTTCAAAGACTCTCACCCATTGAAAGATACAAAGCTTTGGCGGCCATTTTCACTTTTATTTTACCTCTGAAATCAGGCGACACTAGAGTCTACTTCCTTGAACCCCAAATATTTCGACTTCTGTTAAAGATAGATGAGTACTTTTTTCACCGAAAGATAGACAATTGAACAAGCTTTAAGATGACATCAATAACTCCACATGCCCCCAAAATTGACGAGTGCCTGATTCTACCGTGTCGTGACTCATAGACTTTATTGTTTTCTTTATTTCGAAGACGGGCTGGTTTGACCCTGGCCATCAAGGCTAACCAATGTTGGGAGAGCTACAGCATCCCAGAAGACCTACGGAGGTATCTTACTCGGTAAAACAGAGTGAGTGAATGGTTGAGTGAATGAGTGCCCTAGTGAAAGAGTGCGTGGATGAGTTAGGGAGGCTGTGCATGAGGGCCTGCATGAATGCATGAGAATGTAAATGAGTGTTCGAGTAAATTGATGCATCAGTGAGGGAGGGAGTCAGTAGGTGAATATATTTGTATATATGTATATTAGTGAGTGGGCGATTTACTGCACAGTTAAGCTAACAAGTCAATAAGAACACGAAGCAGTGAGTGTCTGTGACAGTAAGTTAATGTACGTGGAGGAGTAAGAGAGTGAGCAAACACTGGGTACCTCTATTGGCGGGCTTCGCGCAAAGAATTCCTAACGAGTACTCTCCCAAAATGTACACAGAATTGTAAAACAATTTGACTGCTCAGAATCCAGACCAACACGGTTTACTTTCAAGCTCTCTCACGAGAAGGAATAGGTAGAGAGTGTATTAATGAAGCCGTGTCGGTTTATATACCTGCCGTGGCAGTACCCCCCAATCGCGTTGATAAGTTGATAGTTTGTGCTGAAAGTGAAAAAATAAAAAAAATATCAGTGAGCTAAAGAGGTGTGCCGCCAATCTGGTGTGCGTCACTGTATCGATTTATTGGAACGTTAAGATCAACACAGAGCCCACCACCGAAAAACGATGTTTCCATTGGATTCAACGGAGTGACTTTTGTTCCAGTTCTGCTCAAACGTGAATATGTTGTTAAATTGTTTTTATCTTTTTCCTGTTCACTTTGAATTTCATTCCGGCTTTTGGTTTCGGTTGTCGATCTTGTTTGTACAAAAACTGTGGATGAAATCCCTTTCTTTGTAAGCTGTTCCAGTTTCTTACTTTCCTTGCGCTTCTCTTTTCTTTGGGGAGGCATACTATTATTGTTTTTCTTTGGAAAAAACCCCAAAGTTTTGCATTTTCGATTTTATCCCTCGCCCCTCCCGCTTCTGACTCCCACCCTAGGTCACTCATCGAGCGCTGTAAAAGGACTGCTTCAATTACCCTAGTTCGCGCAAATATTCCTCTATATTATAAGACCAGGCTGTAAAAAAAAATAATAAAAAAAAAAAAAAAATTAAATCAAACAGTTCTCAGAAGAGGAATGTCGTCACGTTCAAAGGAATGAGCGGCGGACCGCTTTGGGGGTTGGGAGGGGGGGGGGGTAGTGAGTCATAAGTGGGCAGGGGAAGAGCTGAGAGTGAAAAAGAATGTTTTCGCCGGAGACTACTGAGAGGTGTTTGCAGAAAGCCCGTAACTGTGAGAGCTTTTGGTTAAAAACTCGTCAAGATACGGCGTGGTCGACACATTTTCCTATTAGTATTTGAGGCATTTATTGGTTGCGGGTACATATTATGGCTTTTTGATGTGGCTGCTTTTTTAAGTAGGTGACATTAAATCACAAAAAATATTCCTCATTCACTTAAGAATAATAAGAATGAAAATAAAATTAAATATCCCCACATCTAACGGTATTAAAAGAAAGTCCCAATGAAGTAAGTTAGCTCTCAGAACAACGGACATAAAGTACGATGGGGAAAATTCGATGAGAGTTCAGAATGGACACAGAGTAAAAGAACAGTCGGAGAAGCACTCCAAGTCCCTTAAGGCTAATGATTATGATGATGGTCATAATGATGATGATAATGATAATAATAATAATACGATAATGGTACTCGTAATAATAACACTTTTACTTATAGTACCAATGCTGTTGTTTTTTAAATTAAAAGGTGAATAGTAATAATAATGATGATGAGGATAAGAAGAAGGTGATAAAGAAGAAGAATATCAATAACA